CCATACCGTCCGGTTTAATCATTTGGTTAGAATTATTCTATTTGCAAACCCAATTCAAGGGCATATATGTATTTTCACAGGAAACGCTTAATTTCTCGTCGTCTTTCTTCACGGCAATGGCAACAAAAACTCAAGACAGAAACTTAAAAAAAAAAAAAAAATTAGATCTTAAAATTCACAGTATTCTACTTCTGAATCTGAAGCACATCCATATCTCCAGATCCGATCAGATCCGCATCGTCTTCTCAATCAGTCAATGAAAGGTACTACGACGCATTGCTAAAAGAGACCACGCGGGAGAGAAGAGTAAAACCATGAGAATGTCCTCGGCTTCCACCGCGGAGCACCGTCCCTCCGCCGCGACTCTCGGCGTTGGTCAAAGAGATGCTGAATCTCTGTTCCGAACGAAACCGATGTCCGAGATTCGAAACGTGGAGTCGGCGACTAGGAAGAACATCGAGGATAAGAAAGAGGAGCTCCGGCAACTCGTCGGGACTCGGTACCGAGATCTAATCGACTCAGCTGACTCGATCGTACACATGAAGTCGTTATGCGATTCGATCTCGTCGAACATCTCTTCGATCCACGGCAACATTCGATCGCTTTCGTCCTCTTCCTCCGTTGTAGTAGCGGAAGCTCCCAATCTCGCTAACCCTAACTCGGTCCGAGTCAATGTGTACGGGATCGCGTGTCGTGTCAAGTATCTGGTGGATACTCCGGAGAATATATGGGGGTGTCTTGACGAGTCTATGTTTCTAGAAGCTGCTGGGAGGTACATGCGTGCTCAGCACGTGCAGCAGAGGCTGGTTAAGTTGGAAGGGTGTGGTGGTGGTGAGGCACGTGATCAGAGTAAGTTGTTGGAGAAGTTTCCGTTGCTGGAGCATCAGTGGCAGATAGTGGAGAGTTTTAAAGTTCAGATCTCTCAGAGGAGTCATGAGAGGCTTCTTGATCAGGGTTTAGCGTTGGGGGATTACGTGGACGCGTTAACTGCTGTTGCGGTTGTTGATGAGCTTGATCCGAAGCAGGTTCTTGAGTTGTTTCTTGAATCGAGGAGGACTTGGGTTATGCAGAAGTTGAGTGGTTGTGGTGGTGGGGATGATGTTGGGGATGTTGTTTCGGTGTTTTGTGATGTGGTGAGTGTGATTCAGGTTACTGTAGGGGAAGTTGGTGAGCTGTTTTTGCAGGCGTTGACGGATATGCCTCTGTTTTATAAGACGATCTTGAGTACTCCTCCGGCGTCTCAGCTGTTTGGTGGGATTCCGAATCCGGAAGAGGAGGTTGCGTTGTGGAAATCGTTTAGGGATAATTTGGAATCCGTTATGGTTGTTTTTGATAAAGGTGATATTTCTAAGGCTTGTTTGACTTGGTTGAGGGAGTGTGGTGGAGAGATTGTTGGTAAGGTTAATGGGAAGCATTTGATTGAAGCTATTGTTACTGGTGGAGAGCTTGGGTCAGCTGAGAAGTTGATAAGAGAGACTATGGATAGCAAAGATGTTTTGAAGGGTAGTTTAGATTGGCTCAAGGGTGTTTTTGGGTCTGAGGTTGAGCTGCCTTGGAATAGAATTCGGGAGCTTGTTCTGGCGGACGATTTGAACCTATGGGATGAAATATTTGAGAAGGCGTTTGTGGAAAGAATGAAGTCCATTATTGACTCCAGATTTGAGGATTTGGCTAAAGCTGTCAATGTGGCAGAATCGGTTCGTGCTTTTAGTGAGATCACTGGTGAGAAGATCAACTTCCAAGCATACTTGAACAGACCGTCTACAGGTGGTGGTGTCTGGTTCATTGAGCCTAACGCAAAGAAACTTGGTCTTATTGCCGGGAATAAAACATCACCTGAAGAAATTGACTTCCAAAGTTGTCTAACTGCTTACTTTGGTCCTGAAGTTAGCCAAATGAGAGATGCTGTTGATCTGCGCTGCCAGAGTGTTTTGGAAGACCTCTTAAGTTTCTTTGAGTCAGAAAAGGCAGGTCTGAGGTTAAAGGATCTGGCTCCATACGTGCAGAACAAGTGCTATGACAGTGTCTCAGCACTTCTTTCAGATGTAGACAAAGAACTCGAGTTTCTCTTTTCTGCCATGAAGAAAGAGAACAATGACAATGAAGCAATTTCACCTGCTATAGTAATTGAGAAATCTCTTTTTATGGGACGCCTTTTGTTTGCATTGCTGAACCACTCTGAACACGTTCCCTTGATTCTCGGTTCTCCAAGATTGTGGTGTAGAGAAACAATGACTGCAGTTTCTGATAAGTTGTCATCATTGTTGAGGCAACCAAGGTATGGCTCGAATACTGCAGTCACTGACAGCCCTGCAAAGCAGTTGTCTACTGATCTTAGGAAGCAGAGTTCGTTAGCTGTTGCCGCGCTACTTAAGGCAGAAGAGAAGACAAGTCCGAGATTTGAAGAGCTTAATAAAACTATGCGAGATCTGTGCATTAAAGCTCATACGTTGTGGATACAGTGGTTATCGGATGAGCTTTCAGCTATTCTCTTGCGTGATCTTAGAAGTGATGATGGATTATCTGCTACAACTCCTTTAAGGGTAACTAAAAACCGATTCTTATCCTTTTATGCTTAGCTGTCTCTCCTGCATTGATACTATTAGATATTGCTGACTAAAAAGGTGCATAGGTAGTTGTGTCCATACTCATTTGTGAAGTAATAATGTAGGGTTGGGAAGAGACAATAGTTAAGGAAGAGCAGGGCGAGAGTCCATCTGAGTTGAAGATATCACTTCCGTCCTTGCCTTCGCTCTATATTATCTCTTTTCTGTGTCGGGCATCAGAAGAAATTCACCGAATTGGAGGCCACGTATTGGATAAGTCAATTTTGCAAAAATTTGCTTCAACCTTGTTGGAGAAGGTGCGTTGTCTCTGTTTACTTCTTTTCCTATGATTATTTTCTACCTGCTGCAGAAATGTTTCTGGCAAGGAAACAGTACTCTCTTCAAAATATCTCCAAGCTGATTATTGCTTATAACAATGATTTACTAATGTTTTCATTGTACCATGCAGATCACCATTATTTATGAGGATTTCTTATCTCCCAGGGAGGCCAACGAACCGCAAATTTCAGAGAAAGGAGTCCTACAAATTTTGCTCGATTTGAGATTTGCGTCGGACGTTCTTTCTGGGGGTGATACAAGCCCCAATGCGGAGATACCAAAGAGTACAATGAACAGATCAGCTTTCAGACGAAAGCAAGGCCAACAGCAAACAAAATCAGTCAGTAGAGGTCGCATTGATGGAGTGATCTCTCAACTGTCCCAAAAGTTGGATCCCATAGACTGGCTCACGTAAGGAACCGTATCCCTAAACAATGCCCACGACATATCTTAACGATTAGTTCATGTGAATATCGTCTTATCACTCTCTTATTATTTCCTTTTGAAATGTGCAATAAGGTATGAGCCGTATCTTTGGGAGAATGAAAAGCAATCATACCTACGCCACGCTGTACTCTTTGGATTCTTTGTGCAACTAAACCGAATGTATACAGATACTGCGCAGAAGCTACCAACTAATTCAGAGTCTAATATCATGCCATGTTCTACAGTTCCCCGCTTCAAATACCTGCCCATAAGGTTGGTTTTTCTCCTTCCACAGCCAAAACTAGTTGTAGCCTTTGCATAATAATTACTCATTTCAAAAGTCTTGGTTTTGTGTCAATGCAGTGCTCCGGCTCTGTCCTCTAGAAGTACAAACAAGGTCTCAATTCCAGTTCCATCAAACGAAGGCTCGTCAAGAAACTCGTGGAATGCATTTACAAATGGCGAGCTTTCTCAGACGAGTGATTTAGACGAAGACTCCAGTTTCGGTGTGGCTTCCCCGTTCTTGAAGTCTTTCATGCAGGTAAGATCCTAGTCTTGTGGTGTTGATTCATCAATTTGTAATATGTTCAATATCTTAATAAGATCGTGTTAAAATATGTTTCAGGCTGGTAGTAGATTTGGATCGATACTAAGTGACGGACAAGTGGGAATATTCAAGGATAGATCAGCAGCAGCTATGTCAACATTTGGGGATATAATACCGGCTCAAGCAGCCGGTTTACTCTCTTCTTTCACAACCACCAGGTATGAGTGATGATGATGATCTCGGGTTAGTCACTAAACCGTCATTTTCGACCCGAGTTTCTGCAATCAGTTTATGAATCACGCAGAAGATGAGTGCAGAAGCTGGTATATTTGGTATTATACAAGTTTTTACATAAGCGAAGAGAACAAGTTTTGTAATAGTGTTTTGATTTATTGCTTCTTATAAGCTATTGTTACAAGGAACATGTGATTAAGAGGATTTGGTTCGACAAAAAAAATCCTCAAGACTGAATACAATCAAACCGGATCTAGCTATTACGGCTAGTCTTGTCAATGAGAGGGCCTCAGCTTCTTCTCATCTGCAAGAATCTTGAGGAAGTTGAAGAGGAAAGGGACATAGTTGTGTAGCACAAGCATTGTTGATTATATGCTAGAAAACACATGGTTAACGATTTGCACAAATGTGGGACAGGTCTAAATAAGTGTTGTGTTGAGGACAAAAGATATCAGACAAAAAAAAAAACAACAGTGTTTGTAGGAAACAAAAAAACAAACAAAGAACATAGCTAGCAAACTAACCTTATTTCATCAAGAGTAGTAATGTCCATGGAATACAGTTCCTCAACCTGCACAAATACACAACGGAAAGAAGAAGAAACAGCTGTTGATGAGTCAATCAAGAGTCTCTCTCTCTACTGCACTGGCGTGGTCTCGACTGTCTTTTCCAGTTTTCCTGCACATATAAACTGAGTCCAATCAAACCGGAGCATCAAAACAAACTAAACCAACATTAAATAAAATTTCTCTTTTTAATTAAGAATCAAACCGAACCAGACCACATCTTTAGTTTTACAAAAATAACCGAATCGAACCGATAACTGAATGTTAACTACCGTATAAAAAGAAATCGGCGGGTTTACATGATTGCCGGTGAAGATCAATAAAAATTCTAGGGCACCAACGATGACGGAGACTGAAACAATCGCCGCCGCGATTAACCAAATCGACGAGAAGAAACAAACCCTAAAGAAAGCCTTCGAAGATCTTCAATCACACCGCTCTCTCCTCTCACCTTCCTTCTCCCTCTCCTGGTCTGACATCGACTCCCACTTCTCCTCTCTCCAATCCTCCCTCTCTAACCGTCTCCGCCTCCTCCAATCCCAACCTCCTTTAGCTAAAACCGAAACAGATAACGCAGAGCCACCGGTTACTATTCGCCCGGAATTAAAAGCCTTATGCGAGAACATGGACTCGATCGGTCTAACCAAGTTTCTTACTACTCATTGGGACGACGACGCGATGCCTAATTTAGAACTCTCCGCAGCGTTTCGTTACTCTCCAGACCCGGCTACGATGGTGCTTAACGCAATCGAAGGATCAAGCAACAAGGGGAAAGCTGTTGATGTGAGGAGAGTTTTCGTTTTGTTAATGGAAGCTTTGATTGAGATAAACGATGTGAGTATCGGAGTCGATACGAAAGAGAAGGCTAAGAAGGTAGCTAAGGAGTGGAAGATTAAGATAGGTAACAAACCTTTCGAGGCGTTACTGTTTCTTCACTTAGTAGCAGCGTTTGGATTAGGATCTGAGTTTAACTCAGAGGAGCTTTCACGTTATGTTTTAATGATCGCTAAGTACAAGCAAGCGACTTTGGTGTGTAACAAGATTGGATTAGGTAAGGAGAGAGTTGGAGAGGTGATTAAGAAGCTTTTGAGTGGTGGGAAACCGATTTTGGCGGTTAGGTTTATGTATGAATGTGGGAGGACAGATGGGTTTGAGCCGGTTTCTGTGTTGAAAGGTTATGTTAAGGAGGTGAGAGAAGTTGCGGAGAGAGTTTGTAAGGAGGATAAGTATTCTCTCAAGTCGCAGAACGAAGCTACTGATAAAGAAGTTAGTGCGTTGAAGGCGGTGATCAAGATTGTTAAAGATCAGGGGCTTGAAGGTGAGTTTTTAGAGGAGAGGGTTGAGGAGAGAGTGGAGGAGTTGGAGAAACAGAAGGCGTTGAGGAAACGTAATGTGGAGACACCACAGGCGAAGGGGAGAAAGCGGCCTCGTTATCGCAGTGGTGCACACGTTCCTAAACAAGAAGCTAGTGGTGTTATGATTATGACTGAACCTAGTCTTCATCATGGCTTACACTTGAACTCTTTTGGTGTTGTGAACCCAGCACGTAGTGGTATTCTTGGCCCTTACGTGAACCCAGTAACTGCTGGGCTCTATGGTTTAGCTGCAACTCCTCAACCTGTTTACTATGATCAGCAAGCTGGATTCGTAATGCCGCCGTTTCACCCCGCTTATTATCCTTAGTAGCAGAGCTTTGCAATGAAACATCATCGTAGTGATGTCTGAGGAAAGAACTGGCGGTCTTGACTCTCCATTTCTCTTTTTATGTAAATGAAAAGTAAGTAGCTTTATCATGGAGATGAGCTTTATCTAAATGTCTTGAAGAGTTTAGTTCTTGAAAATGATAATATTGTTTTGGCTGTAATTGCCACTTCAACGAATAGTTAAAAATACAGTTTACACAATACAAACAAAACATGAGTAAAATCTCTTACACAACTGATTAGTCATCCAATCCATGGAACAAAGTTCCACTTGACTTTGTCGTTGATGTTAATTGCCTCCTAGAACTGCCATAAGCGTAGCAAGCTCTTCTACAGGGACCTTGCGAACATCTCTTCTTGTCTTGACTGCTTTCTAGCCGGAGGAAAACCACATTGCCATTTTTGCTTGGGAAAAAAAAACAAACTAAACTGAACCAAACCGACTCAAATGAACTCAAACCGATTCAAACTAAACCAAAGTATATGTCTAAACCATTTGGTTCAAAATTTTATCAATCCAAACAGGTTTGGTTTAGTTTTCAACCAAACCAAACAAAAAAAAACTGAAGTTTTTTAACTAGATTAATAAAACTGAAAATATTAAAATTTAATATACTAACCATTAACCTAAGCAATTAAACATAATTTATACATTTATTCTAAATGAATAGAATAAACACAACTAAAGTTTAAATAAAAAAATATGTTCATACATTAACATCAAAACTGAAAAACTACCCATGATATTTATATTAGGTTCGAAGATAGTTATCTATACTATTATTTGAAAAATAAATCCCCTTCTTATTATTTGAGGAGCACTTTTGTAAAGAAACCTTTAGTTCATGTGTTTATTACATGCATGCCATTTCCTACGTGGCAACTCCACAAGCCTTCTCACACCTTCTAAGTAAAAGACCTTAGTTTACTAGAATAATTACATAACATGCCATTGATGCCATTGATATAAATTGATATAAATATATGATACGATATATGATATATGATATGATATATATGATGATATGATGATATATATGAACCGCGGATTGGCTAAAGTATGATGAAGATAGCATTAATATATTTCCTTATATATTTCCTTATATACGATATGATATATTTTGTTTCATAAGTATGATATATTTTGTTCCATAAGTATGATATATTTCCTGATATATTTCGTTACATGAAAGGGAAAAAATGCGACCTTATTTCATAATTAGGCATATATTTAAATTTTAAGTATAATATTTAAATTTTAAGTATAATATTTTATATTTTATATAAATTTTAAGTATAATTTTTTATATTTTCTAGCAATAAATTCAAATTTTTTGATCTCGCTGTCTATTATTAACATGTTGTGATATAAAATAATATAATGCATTCATATATCAAGTTGAAAAAATAAAAACACTAATACCACAAATGATAAAAGATATATGTTAATACAACAAATGTTTAATTGGACGGATTCTGAACGAATGTACCCTACCAAATTCAAACTTATAAAAGATATTTGTGATTCTGTATGGCATTAAATTTAANCAATTAAATGATATAGGCATAAATTGGAATTTCCTTGATAGACAAGCACAAATCACAATTGAAAATGCTATTTAAACATAGAAAACTCGAGTTGTAAATGTCCATTCGATATTCAGACAAGCAAGAAAAAACCTACACATCTTCTATGGCCGCCATGAACCTTATATCTGAGTTGAAGCCTTTCAAGAACCAATGGAAGATTCAAGTGAAAATTGTCCGCCTTTGGAAAGAGTATTCTGCAGCTGCTGGGGAGACTATCGAAATGGTCTTCCTCGATGCTAGAGTAATTTAATTTTTTTAGAAATGATTGAGTTTTGTTCATATGTTTTTTTTTTTCCGTATGAAGTTTACTTATTTAATTTAATAATTTTTTCTAGGGAGACAAGATAGCTGGAACCGTGAAAAGAGAACTGGTGGGGCAGTTCGATTGTCTGGTACAAGAGGGTCAGACCAAAATTCTCATGAATTTCACCTTGACCAGAAGTTGTGGATCTTTCCGAACCAGTAGTCATCCATTCAAGATTGTTTTCCTTCCAACGACATGTGTACTGAGTTGTGAGGAGTTGCCCAACAACTTATCTGGACTGAATCCTGTTAACTTTCGAGACGTTATGAATGGTGTCCTCGATGATGACTACTTAGTTGGTAAGTAACGTTGTTATCTATAATGTTCTTTTAAAAATATGGATTACTGATTACTCAAATTCGTTATCTCTCTTTAATAGATGTACTCGGCCAGATTGTTGAGGTTTCACTCATTGAAACCGTGTCTGTTAATGGCAAAGACACACAGAAGATAACGGTGGAATTACGCAATGAGATGTATTTTTAAATAGCATTTTCGTTTCATGTTTTATATTGGCAAAG